TACCAAATTTTACTGCGAATGGTGGTCACCAGATATTTCAGCACGCTGGTCAATCTAGCAGCAGACTCGCCCTGCGAGCTGGTCTGAAGAGGGTCTGAACTTGCCACAGCATGACGCTAGTGTGACACGCGCATTGTGGTATTGGGTCTTCATGGGAACATCAACTGATTCAGATTCTCAAACAGGGGAGAGCGTCCGAGGCCCCCGAACATTCCTGGTTGACATAGCCTTCGTCGGTAGGTAGATGTGCACATGCTTTATTGTTATGTAGAAGTGGCTTACTTCGGCACAAGTAGGCACAGAGGCGGATCCAGCTCAGAGGTTTGGGGGGGGGGGCAAACCATAAAAATTTATTGATTCTTTCCATGCATCGTCCATAGGCGTAATGTTAAAATCATGCCGTTTGGGGGGGCAAATGCCCATTTTGCCCCCCCCCCTGGATCCGCCACTGAGTATGCACCCAACTTTCAGGGCAAATGATGCAGAAATTTCACCGCAAAATTGCTTGCATCGAATTTCGGCACATGAGGGTCTCACGGGCGTCCGGCGTAGTGTATGGATGTTTTCCAGTCTGGGCACTGGCACCAGCACTGAGAGGCGGCGTGCTTAACAATCATTTGACAGGCGAATTGAATGATCTTGATCTAATGCGAAAAAAACAGGACAAATAGCATGACAAGTGAAATACGTACCTTTCTTCAGCGGTTCAATCTTATAGATCTCATTCTTCGATCAACCCGCCACAACAAACACGTGTCGCGACACAACCCATCACAACAAATCGGAAACTAGCGTCACGCAGCGCCGCCTGATATAACAAATGTTTTTAAAATAAATTATCGCTTTTACCATATATCTCACTTTCAATAATAAAATATTTTTGAAATAAATATAAATGAAAAGTTCATTTAAAATTATAATGTAAATTCAAATAGGTAGAGCTAAAAATTAGCCAATAATATCGGGGGGAATTGGCCAGCAAATAGTTCAGCGCTTGTCACATGCAACCATCATGTGGCCAATACAACTGAGACGACAGATGCTGGTAAAAAAAGCAAGCGAAAACAGGGACGTACTAAAGGGGGGGTGGACCGGAGCCCCCACAGTGTTTTCGGGGCCCGGGATGGAGTCGGGGCCCCGCGGGCCGGGGGCCCCACGTTGGCCGGAGTCGCGTCAGAGTCTAGGGAAATTCGCAGGAGTCCCTGGGGTCACGTTGGGACGGTCGGGGTCCTCCATAGCAGCTTCCCCCCCCCCCCCCCAACTCTGGGGCCGTGCAGGGGCGGTGCGCCCACAACTTTGAGACGAAATACTGCACTTTTTTTGCAAATGTTTCCTTTTTGTTGACAAAGCCAAGGGACGAAAAATCAGTGGCCTTAAACCGGTGAGAAAACTAGAGTTGGGGGTACCCCAGGCTGATCTCTATTATGGTGTGCCCCCCCCCAGTCTGAAAGTAGTTCCCGCGCCCCTGCCCTGGGGCCCTCTGACCGGACTGACAGCTGCAGGGTCCTTCTTGCTGCCTGGGGCCGCCTGTGGATGGCCGCTGGTGTCTGTGTCTGACCGCGGCCCCTCTGACTCCTCAGTGGAGGGGGCCCTCTATTATAGGTGAGGGCCTTCTGTCATGGGTGGGGCCCTCTGTGGAGGGGACTCTTTGGAGGGGGTCCTCTGTGGAGGGGGCCCGGGATTCCTCTGCCCCCTTAGCTGAATCCTAGGTATACGTACTGGGGGGTCGTATCAACCCAACTCTCCGTGTTATGAGAAATGCCCCGCCCATGATGCGAAAGTTAATGGACTCTGTAAAGGGAGTTTTGTATGGTTTCAAAAATACACTTTTTCGGGGGTAAAATATACACCCCTTAAAACACCATCGTCTTCGCTTGACACGCTATAAAATACCCTTAAAAGTATATTGTACTCTGTAAAGAGAATTTTATAGGGTATCAAAAATACACCCTTTTAAAAGGTTTAATATATACACCCCTTAAAACACCCTCATCCGCTTGACACCCTATAAAAAACTCCTAGAAAATATAACGGACTCTGTGAAGGGGGTTTTTAAAGGGTGTCAAAAATACACCCTTTAATGGATAAGGTGTTGACACCCTCCATGACTCCCCTATTTCTCCTTGACACTCTGAAAATACACCTTGAAAAGAGTCGTCATAGGAATAAAACTCACTTTCAAGAGTCATGTGACCCGTAAAAGGGTCTTTTAGAGAGTGTATACACCCTTAAAACTCCCTTTATTTTTTTATAGGGAGTTTTTATTTTTCTCAGTGTATGCACAAGAAAACGTTTAGGTATGCAGAAAGGCTTTCATTGTAGCGCGTATGACTTCGTATTACCGGAAGATATGGGGAAAGGAGTGCGTCAAGTTAGTTTGAAAAGATAGGACTGACATTTTATAAGCATAAAAACACGCTATCCAAGTGAAGCTCTTTATGATTTAAGTTCTAACTGGACAAAAGGAGGCGTTGATTAAAAAAAATATATATATTGGATCATTGATTTCCTTCCCTACATGAGCAATGAACAAGAGTCACTTTTTCACAGATAACTCGGCACTAGTCTATTTCTATATTTTTGTGGAAAGCCCTAAATCTAGACCAAAACCTTGACATGTTGCTGCTAAATTGAACTGACGTCGATGTGATTGCCACTGACAGAGCTCGATGTGGATTCAGACGTTCCACGACAAATCGACAAGTGCCCTGCAAATCGACAAGTGCCCTTAGGTCACGTGACCTTAGGTCAACTTTTGACCTTTCGACCTTTCGAGGTCAACATACATATCTTTCGATGCGGATCGACGAGAGGATCACGATGGTGCTATTAGTTTGTTCCTAGCTGGGACACCTTGAAAGTTATTCGAGAAAAACTTCATATATATGTAGTGCCGCAATTTCGACTTCCTTTTTGCTCCTGTGACGTCATCTTTGACCTGACCTGAAAATGACCTGTGTAAAAATTATAGACCTTATCCGTGTGTACCCTGCACCGTTTACCGCTTGTCGCTATCTTGCTTTATTCTCGAGATCTCGCTGTCGCTCCCGCTCGTCACGTGACCTAAGGTCAACTTTTGACCTTTCGACCTTTCGAGGTCAACATACATATGTTTCGATGCGGATCGACGAGAGGATCACGATGGTGCTATTGGTTTGTTCCTAGCTGGGATACCTTGAAAGTTATTCGAGAAAAACTTCATATATATGTAGTGCCGCAATTTTGACTTCCTTTTTGCTCCTGTGACGTCATCTTTGACCTGACCTGAAAATGACCTCAGTTAAAATTATAGACCTTATCCGTTTGTACCCTGCAACGCTTACCGCTTGTCGCTATCTTGATTTATTCTCGAGATCTCACTGTCGCTCCTGCTCGTAATAATGGACAGGTCATAAAAATGACCTGACCTGAGGTCAACGCAGGGCGATATCCACTTTTTTTATTTTCGCATATGAGTGACAATCGATAAGGCTTTAATCGTCATCAGACAAAATTGCAACTTTCAGTGGGGAAAATATCAAGGTCACTCTTCGAAAAATAGGTCAAAAGGTCACGTGATCAAAATTTTCGAAAAATGAAAATACGAGATAGCCAAAATGTTTGTCGTCTGATTGTGAGTTGAACCATATAAAGTTTTTGTCGTAGAAAACCAATAGTTTTTTAGTTATAGGCCGCCAAACATAGAGCTGCAGCGCGACCTCCAGGAATTGCCCGAGGCTATATCTCGGAAACCGTTGTTCGGAGAAAAAAATCCTTGCCACAGCTGGCTTCCCCGCCCATCACAACCCCTTACACCAGTTTTCAACGAAAAATAAAATATGAGGGTGCAAATTTAACCCTAGAACGCCTAGGGGGGGGGTTGTATCAACCCCCCCCCCCTGAGGTTTTTTCGAAGTGCACGCTAAACGGCTTGTCGTAGCGGGCTGAAATTTTCAATACCCTCTGGGGCAACCTTTGCGCATCTTTTGCCGAAAAAAAATTGATCGGGTCATGTCAGGTCACGGAGTTATGACGTCATAAGAGGTACAGCCTCCGGCCGACAGTTACCAAACATGTGCGCCGAATCCCTAGGTTTTCTGCCGGTGATACCCACATTGTTTGATGGATCATGATGAAACTTCCCATGCATGTTGGGGCAAGCATTGGCTATCGTGTGGTGCAAGAAAATTGACCGGGTCAGGTCAGGTCACGGAGTTATGACGTCATAAGAGGTACAGCCTCCGGCCGGATTTTCACGAAGTGTGTACCGAGTCCCGAGGTTTTCTGCTGATGCTATCCACATTGTTTGATGGATCGTCATGAAACTTCCCATGCATGTTGGGGCAAGTATTGGCCATCGTGTGGTGCAAGAAACTTGACCGGGTCAGGTCAGGTCACGGAGTTATGACGTCATATGTGGTACAGCGTACGCCGCCATTTCTGAGAAGTGAAAGTGAAAAGTGAGAAGTGAAAAACACCATATATGATGCAGAATTGAGTGGGGAATACGTTGTTGAAGGTTTGAAGTTAATATCTCTCACCGTTTTGCCGCAATCGTTGCGCAAAGTTGAAAAAGTTTGATTTTTTCGGAAAATTTGACCTTTGACCGGTCATAAGTAGGTCAAATGTTGACCTAGGACCAAAAAATATACCACCAATCGCGAGATCTCGTTGAGAGCAATCCGTTGGTTTTTTCCGCTAAGCTCTACGACCTTCCGTTTCGAAACGCCAGGGGGGGTCGTAACAACCCCTTCCCCCCCCCCCCTGGTCGTTCGTGTTATGAGAAATGGCCTGGTCGTGCGAGGGTTAATTTTTTATTTGTCGATTTGTCGTGGAACGCCCCAGACGTAAGGTCATCGCTAATAATGTTAATTTTGCTGAATATTTGGAAAATTATTTTACTAACCCTTTTGGACTCTGTCCTAAGCGCCCCTTATATCCCCCCTTCAATATCCCCCTGGATCTGCCAGTCAATGAACGTGTGTTTAACGGTTAACCCCGGCTTGTTCCTTGCTTTCCAGACGGTCGTCATGCGATATCGAATACTGCGTCACCTATCGGCGGAGTTCGAAACTTCAGCCTGCGCAACCCGCCGAGTCCGGCGCTGCTGCGGGTTCCCAACACGGACTCTCGGATCAGTGCGTTATCGAGACTGTTGAGCCCTGATCGGCCATCGTGGACTAGCCTCAACGAGTGAGTGACGCTGACCATTTATTTTTCCCAGTTTGATGCAGATGGCAAAACCGACAGTAAATGTATGTTTGACGAGCATGGGATGGGTGCATGGGATTATGGCGCACAAAAGGTACAAACGGGCCATACGCATTTTAGGTGTCCACTTGAAGTGGGCAGTGGCCGAGCGCCGCCCGCAGTGGTTTCTGAATTTGTTTTCAAATGAATAATCGTGGCTCATAGATCACCAATAATCAAGCGAAAATCATCAAATTGCAACTGCCGTCATTCAAATAATGCGAACAAAATTTTCAATCGAAGTCCGGTTCTTGGGCTACGGCTCAACAACTTTGGTGTTCGCCTTCCTACGTCAAATCTTGTCAACCTTTCCCGGTAGCTATTGCGTCAAACCTCCGGCTCTAATTGAACGCAGCGTTTGCGGCCAAGTTTGCTGCGTCGCTTACTCAACTCGGCTCACCTGGGCTCAACTCCGGGCGAAGATTTAGCGAAGGCGACACCGAGATTGCGTTTGGTGGCGACACGTAAACCGTAACGCAAGCGGTCCGGAAGGGCGGTGAAATTAATCAACTCTGGGGGACAGAGCTACATGCGTCAGAGCACTCTGACGTTTGATTAATGAAATATTGGTAGGGTCGGTATTTTTCGAATTATTCAAATGGTGGTGTCATCGAGAAGGTATGCAGTCGTTTCGGGAGTGCCCGTGGTATTTTTATGTTTTATCGGAATGTTTGAATTTTTATTATGCGTGTTTGGCTCTAGCCGTCCGTAATTTGAAATATGTTGACGGTCATTTTTTGAAATATGTCCTACCCTCCCCTGTAACGATCTCAACAAGAAATATGAAAGTTCATTTAGATTCATGTTTCTATGTGGAGGAAGGACCAATAGCTCCCATATTTGAATATTCATTTGTTGTCTGGCTTGATCAAATGAAATGAGTGTGTTTCTCAACTTATTTCGTATTTTTATCTGGCCTGAGGCTTCTTTTGTGCACCTTTAGCCATATGTTCCAACGAATTAATGAAATGTACCTTTGCCGAAGTCGTTTTATAAAGCGATTTCGAATTTGTGCTTAGCGGTCTCCCATGCGACGGTTCTGCGTGATCAAGCTAGCTAAGACGTTGTACTTACAATTCCCGTTATAACAGAGTCCAAGTGGTGTCGGTGCTTTAGGTTTCAGTTGCAACAAAGGAATACGCTCGTTTGCTAATTATATCGATGCTTTATGGGCCAAATTACATGGAGTCCTTGCGGATAAAATTATAATGTTTATGCATCTACTGAATGTTTCATTTTTTATCGAGGCCTGTTGCTATATAGTGCCTATATATCCAATTGTGTTCTTGCTTTAAAAATCGTTCTCAACCTTTGTTGTGGGCACTTACATGTTAACATCCGACTGACGGGGCTTGCGTGTTTGTTGTGCTGCAGCTCTAGTGCCGACTGCAGTCCTACACCGCTGCGACGCTCCACATCCATAGACAGCTTGAACCGGCCCAGCCCACCTCGCAGCCAACCAGAAGACAGCTCCGACAGCCCTCCGAAGCCGGCCAGCCAATCACAGTCGCGGAAAGGCAGCGCCGAGTCGCCCGGGATCCGCCGCAGGCTCTACAAGGACAAACTAGGTCAGTGGAGCTGCGGGATTTGGGTGCTGTCGGAACCAGGCTGATCGGTGCTTGAGTTACATATCTTGAAATTTCGTAGTAAAAAAGAGTTTCGTTCGTCACCTGACTAATCGCATGCTCCCGTTTTGATTCGAAGGGGTTTAAAGTGACACATTTTGTACACTATTTTACTCACAACGCCATAGCAACAAAATGACATTGTGAGTCTTTGAGATCCTAGCCTGGTTCCACTGGACTTGGGATCAGGCTACATCCTCTTATTTCGTGCGATGAACTATAGCGACGACATGAGCTCAAAGTTCAATGTCCTGAAGACGACAACAAAGCTATTTTGCCGTACTTCACAACAGCTATTCAAATTTATCATCCATATTCCATATTAACTGTTACCGGGATCTGTAAACACGCATATTTCAACGTCTCGTTTTACGTAACGCCTGTGCTGGACATACCATGATTGACGGCACTTGTATGTTCTAGCTGCCCTGGCATATTATACTATCAATAGAGATTTACGATATGACCGTAGATCATTTCAAAACATCCCGCATAAATGAACCGTGCTGGAAGCCGTAGAGGACGCATTTGCTAAGGTTTATGTCACATCGTAAGGCTAATTGGTAGCCTCTATCAGACATGTAAAACGGATGCTGCCTTCTGGAATGCGACGTTGAAATTGAACTCTTATTGGCACATTCCGTTTGGAATGTATTTTAACGCTACGGGAAAGACAGATGAGTTGTATAATGTATAACGTATGCCACTTTTAGAATGAATAATTATTTGAAATTGTTTTAACGGACTTTCACTGGGTAGTGGGTAAAAGTTATTATTGACCAATAATAGTAACTTTTACCCACTACCCAGTGAAAGTCCATTAAAACAATTTCAAATAAGCATTTACCTGGGTATTAACTATTAAGACATGACTCTTCAGTCTCACTTATGAATAATTACACTTTATCTCGCTTCTACAAAGTGTTTCTCACAATACATATTGAATCTATCGTATTCATTTTCACCCCTGCCGGGTGTAATGCACCCAAAATGAGACGCCATTGCTCCCATTACAATTTAGACGCCCACTGTCTCGGCTTAAATCCCTCCTGTCATGGGGCTTAGAGCCAAGGTTAAAGCTGTCAGAGGTCGGGTTTTCTGCATGGCTGCGTACTGTGACAGTTTCGTTTGGACGCCTCTGTGGGATCAGCATCTTGTGGTGGAATGTGTTATAAGAAACTTAGATCGGTGACATTGAAACGATGCTCGTGGGTGGCATTGGGGCTCTACGTCTGCAGGGGTAGGCGGTCGTGGGGCTCGACGTCTTTGTGCTCACTATGGTTTTCGTGTCGTTTTATTTCCCTCATGGAATAAAACGCGATTTGATAACACTTTGATGAGCAACAAGGAATGTGAAGAGGTTTCGTGTTTAGTACCAAATTGTTGAATGAATTGTTGAATTTCGGTGTTCAATTTGTGTATGTCACCAAACGCATTCAATATTGTAATAATCACCACAATAATTACATAATTTAATTTTGATAATCACAACATACTTTGCCTTTGCATGTAATGTACCGTATATTCTGCCGTAAGTTGAGTCAACTACCGTTCTCACTAAATTTATCTTTTAATTAAGCGTATCCAACGCAAGGGCAGAGTTGCGAACTAAACCACCTTTCGCAACTATGCAGATGTACTACTTGACTTTCGGGAATGGCGGCTTTCACCAGAATGTCCCCGTTTCCTGCGGTTCATCAGTATACATTTGATGTATAATGCAGAGGCTCATTCATAGCACTTCGTCGCCAAAGAGCGCACCATTCGTAGTCAATACCGCCAACACAAGGGGCGGCACCGCTGGCGTGACGGAACCTCAAAACGCTTCAGGGTGGTCCCGGACCTTTCAAGAAAACATTAGCGAAACATTTTCAAAATCCCTGGACCATTCTCAAAACGTTTTCAGTGCTGAACTTTTAGGTGATTTTAACTTAATTACATTGTCTTTGCTAACGTACTCGTACTGCACGTTTTCAGAAACTACCAAAATTTATCAAAACATGCTTCAAACCTGCAAGACTATGTTCAGGATGAATCGTGACATTTTAGACATTGATTGTCGTCATGGAGTAATTACAAAACGCTTTATTTATATCCTTGTTGTTCCCAAAATCGTCATCGACACGCCTTTACCCTCCCCCCGCCTCCCCCCCCCCCCACACACACACCTGTCCTCCACACGCTCCTTCCTCCACCCTCCATCCGTGTCTGCAGAACACTCTAAAGCTGTTCAACCCTCCTCTAGACGTCCTCAGCGTCCCCAGAACTCCCCACAGAACGTCCTCACGACGTCCCTGGAACACTGAGCTCATACCTAGAGCTTCCCCATAGTGTCCCTCCCGCTCGCCAAAGCGTTGCTCCAGTGATTGAGAGCCCCCTGGCTGATGAGAGTGGTGCCTACCGACCGGTCTAGGGGAGTATGTTTACTCCCCGGAGTGAGCACGCAACGCCACGGTCAACAGAATGGTGTTTGTGGTCGACGACGAGCGTTCTGATGCGGTAGGGATAGTTTTTTTTCGGTAGGAGAGGTGGCTCAAGGCTGGTACGGTTATGCTTCTTTTTATATGATTTCCGGTGAAGTGAAGATATTATTGAGCCTTTGGTGGACATTGTCGCACTTTGTGTTTATATTCATTTGTTTTGCTATTTACTTTATTTTTCATTGAAATGGATTGCAACCCTGAGTGGGTTTAGCGCTTTTGCTTAGAAGTTATTGCAGATTGCGGAACCTAATTGGATAATGAAACTGGTGGCTCCAGAATAATGCGCTCATTTCCTAAGTTGTCAGGCGCTCAGCTAGGAAGCGCCTGGGCGTAAATGGTGTACGAATTGCGACGCATTTGTGTCTTTCAGCGTAAAATTTTAAACATTAGCTGTACCTCGCGCGCCGTAAGACTCGTTTTCAGCCTCACTACCTCCTGGAATGTTAAATGCAGAACCGAAAGATTTCGTGGAAGCGCTGTCTGTGGGTTAAACTATCGGCTTGGTGGAATTAGATGGGCCGTAAAACCAGCTGTAAACGGGTTGTTAAGTGTCATGAACAGCTTAACAACGCGACTGAGTCAGCCGTCGTCAGCTCGGTATGCTTTCATTGCGCTGGGCTTGGGTGCCCGAAACTGAAGGGATTGGTTCCGCCGGGTCCAATGCCGAAATTTATAGGAGGTCCTGTAAAAATTGACGATTGGCTGAAAATTATAAATACAGAAAATATACTTCAATTACTTGAATTGATGTGCTTGCGCGCAGACACATCATTTTGATGGTATTTTACTCCTCTATGTAAATGATCTTCACTATTTCAACAAAATAATTATATTCTCTATCACAGGCTGTTTTTCCATCACTGACGAATTAACTATTTACAAAAGTTTTTTGGGCATTGTTGTGCTTCGCCAGATTGGCGCACCGTCTGTTTTACTACAAACGTCGCGTGAAAGACAGGAATCAGACAATGCGTAGATAATCCAGTGTGTGATGTAACCTTGTATCCCTGACCTTTGAGACCAATCAAAGGACAGTTTTCCATCGGTGATTGGTGTATTCCGCGAGGTCTTTATTGTCCGCACACAGCACACACATCAGCAAAATACACGCATCAAAAACACACATTGGATAAAACTTCGCAATAGCCATCGCCTTGCGTAATAATTATGGGCCCTGTGTTCCTTCACAGCCAGTGTCCGACCCTCAAGTGTGTCGCTAGCGGAACTATTTTTTATTGGTTGAAGATGCGGATGTGTTCGTACGTTACATGTGAGTTACCCGTCACTTGCGTTTGGGGAAGGTGTGCGGCACAAGATGCTGTGTAATGTCGCCCGATTTCGACCGTCCTCTCCCCTCCCTCCCCCCCCCCCGCTCAGCTGTGACCCCAGTATAGCGGAAGTCTCCAGCCGTTGGGGGAGTTGACGGGCGGGCAGGCAGCGCGGCCAATTTGAATAGGTTCCCATGGTTAACCCGCGTGTGTCCGTCCACGGTTCGGGGTCGAGGCCAGCGGAAATTAGTGATTATACCGGTGTTCCCACTGGGCTCAGTTACAGTGTAACTACTGCTTGCCGCTTTCTCCGAGAAATTTGGATCGTGCGTTTTCTAAAGCATTGTCGAATTAGTTAACCCGCGCCCTGCTGGGGGGGGGGGGGTGTTTGAACACCCCCCCCCCTTGTGTTTTTTCGCGAATATCTCAAAAACGGTGGCGCTCCCGCCGCCGTTTTTGGTACACCTTATCATACATCAATTCTACACATGTTGTGAAAATTTCAGACCAAGGGCATTCAAGGTCAGGTCACAAGGTCACTTGAAGTGACCTCACCTCATAAAAAGTTTCAATGTCTGCCATAGCTACACCGAGTGACCGATCGCTTTGACACTTTCAGCGATTGCTAAGAGCAATAGCATGTACAAAATGTATATCTCAGAATTTTGATATCGATGACCTAAGGTCAGGTCAATTTTGCGACCTCCCCATTATAAGTCAATGGGAGAAAATTGAAATGCGCCTCTTTTGGCCGAAAGACATTATAAACACTCCCAAACACTGCATTACAAGTGGTTTAGACACACTGAACATGAAAATGGTGTCCGTGACCCCTGTTTATGCCCTGAGGTCATCTTAGGTCACGAATGGTATCTAACAGTTTTTTTCGCAAATAACTTTTGAGAGAGGCATGCTAGAGCGATGAAAACGCCTTAGATGTGTTCAGCTTGACGATACGGATCGACTGATATGCAGCATGACCCTTTCCGGTCAGGTCATGACCTTGACCTGAGGTCAAATTTTCAAGTTGACCTTTCAAGGTCAAGTTATTGTTCATTCGATGCGTCTTGACGAGAGGAACACGATGCCGGTAAAAGTAAGCTCGTACAAGGCTTGGGTCAAAAGTTATCGCAGAAAAACTGTTTCCGAAAAAATCGGCTATTTTTGCAGTTTTTGCCCCCTGCAGGCAAAA